TAACAATTACTCACTATTGAACCACAGGAGTCTTATCCCCATCTCCTTTCTTGAAGTATTTTTAAAAGCAAGAGAATGATTTAATCTCTTTTCCTATTCACCTTGGCTTTAAGGGCTCTGTGTTGATACGTAGATGAAAACCTAATTGCCTCTGCAAAGTAGAGGGCTGGGAATAGTAAAAAGTTGTGGCAAGGAAAGAGTTCAGCTTTACCCCAACATAAAATGTCATTTTGGAATATGGAATGCAGAGGCATGGTATAGCAAAGTGGCAACCTTAGGAACTCAGTAAAATCCTGCTGATTCATGTTTCAACATGGCAGCTCCATAAGGTGGTACAAGTTTGAGATTTCCAGGCATGTTGTAAAGAGACGTGTTTCTTTTCCTTTCTTCTGGGCTATGCCTATACCTCTAGTTGTTGTGGTTATGCCATTGAGTTGGTGCCGACTCACAGCAAATTGTATAGGGCTTCTGAGAGCTGCTGGTGGGTTTGAACTGCTGACCTGCAGTTACCAGTCCAGTCCTTGGACCTTACAGCACAATTAGTAATTAACAACTAGTAGCAGTTTGGTAGAGGAAGGAAGACTCAGGCATTTCAACATGAACGACTTTGGATAGGGTAAACATCTATGACTTTTTATATTTTATTGCCCATGAGTTTATAAAAGAAGTAAAACTTACAACTGAACAGAAATAAGGAATTCACTTTTAAACATATATGAACATTAAAATAAGAAGAACCATACAGAAATAACTGACTTCCACTTCCTGTCCTTGAAGATACATAGGGCACAGCATTTCTAGTTATCCTATATAGATAACTGGAATAGAGAAAAAGTAGTTGGCCTGCTCACCAAATGCCTTCCTGTCTCCATCACTGGCTGCTGTCTGGCTGTGCTCGAGTGGAGAAGAATCCTCAGAATATGGCAAAAACCTAATTCTAGAGGCACCATTCAATCCAGTGTGCCCCAGTGGTTAAGCAATGGGCCTTTAGGCTGAGCTGACCCAAGTTCAGATCTTGGCTTCTCTACTGTGTGGAACTTTCCCAAGCTCGAAAGGATCTGTGAAATGTGTAGAAATCACTTATGGGCTTGTTAAGGAAAGCTCAAGGTAAACTCACGAGCCCTATGCCTGGTACATTAAAGAGGCGCAAATACTGTAGCTGTTGTGACTATTCTTTCCTGGCTATTTATCAAAGGACTTCAAACGTTTCTACAGCTTTAGATGGCGGACTGAGACTAGATAGCATTTCACTTCAGGCCTCAGTGAAAGAAACCCAGCTTTCATGTGTTTTTATGTGTTGAATTTCTGCCTGAGGTTTCACTTGGGAAAAAAGAAGGGCTTTTTTTAAAGTGATAATGTAGTGAAATAGTGAAACACCAGACACTGCTGTTTGTAATGTTTGGAGTATAGTTAACTTGAAAGCCAGCAACAAACCTGGGAGCTCTCACGAGTTCTGTGGGACGACCACAATAACATAACTATAACAATAATGAAAGTCACATGAGTTTTATGGTTTACCCTGTGCATTAAGTGGCTAGTGTTAAGAAAAAGTTGGCAATGTTGTGAGAATGATTGAAATGTGGCACAGAAACACAAGGTGAACACATGTGCTGGAAAAGAACATGCCGATACACTTGCTTTGCAGCAGTATTGTCGGTCACCTTCCATCTGAAAGACATGCTCTGTCTGTGAAGCAGAACTCAATAAAATGAGGTATGCCTAGAGAGCCCACTGTTAAGTGCTGTCGAGTCGGTTCCAAGTCATAGCGGCCCTGTGTAGGGTTCCCAAGGAGCGACTAGTGAATGTGAACTGCTGACCTTGTAGTTAGTAGTCCAGTGCTTATCCTACAGTACCACATAGAGTTAGCATGATACAGGATAGTGTTTATCCTGGACTGTGTCCAAATTCAGGTTCTATCCCATGTGAGTGGTGTGAATTTGCCTGAGCTATTCAATCTCTCAATCTGCATATCTAGAAAAGGAGATGGTGGTATTACCAACCTCATAGGGTGTTAACCCATTGCTGTCCA